GTCAAGAGATAGTGGACCTGTGTCTCAGTGGAGGATGTATCATCAATATTATCCCCAAAATAGTACAACTTCTCATAGATCATCGGGAGTGGGATTGGTATGGACACAAGTGTTAGACAGTGTATGCCCTTAGCTCCAATTAGAATGATATACCTTATGACATTATATGTAAATGAATAAAGTACATATTTGATTCATGTTCACAGCCGTTGCATAAGTCTAGGGAGATTTATTTTGCCAAGGCTGACACTGATGTGCCGCCAAGTTGGTTGGGGTAGCCTGTCTCAGCTGCCAGGGTGAGACCCGAGGTACATGTAGTGTAGGTTTACTTAAAACCCTAAACCGGACCAGATTTACAGTATTGCCCTGGACCTTGGAGATTGATGGGCAAAAACTGGAAAGTTACACCTAACCCCTAGACTTGATTATGATACTGCACTAGGTGTCAGATTGGGCTGTCTTTGATATGCCAATCAGTGAGATCCTTATAGGGGGTCAAAACCTGCGTACGTTGGGACAGTCTGAGAATTCATCTGAGTGGGTGATCATAGTGACAGGATTAGCCCCTTTGTCGGACAAAGGTAATGATCGGGGATGCATTCTCTCTGATGGAAACCAAGATTGCCGGCAACCGATTTCAATCGTTGAAATTTGTTTTGCAAAATATATTTATATATGGATATACATATTATATATATATATATATTATGATTTCAAAATGTTTGCAAAAGGTTTTAATTCCCGGGATCCATGCGAGTAGAGAGTGCATCACTGTTCCTTGCAGTCGAGGGAGAGACCCTCTTTTGTCGGGCAGTGTTTGATCATTATGGGCTTAGAGGTTAAGTGTAAGACCATTGAGAGTAATACCTGATGGGCTAATCTTGCATCTRCCCACAGTCCCTGGGTTTTTATAAGGTGGTTTGGCCCAGGCACCACTTAGTGTAAGTGTTGGGCCCGTTAAGAGCCCATGGTGATGGGCTCAGGTGTTATAACAGTGTATTCGGCCAGGCCTTGTAACAAAGGTTGGGCTGAGCCCATGTGGCTGATGTGTAGATCAATGTTTGGGTCTCACATCATACAAAGAAGCCCAATTGGGCAGCAGTTTGGAGGGTTACTGAGCACATGGACTTATTGGGCCTAAAGCACATTTCGAACTGGTCTAATTTGATTAGTTAAAGAAGGGGCAGATCTGGGATTTGGATCAGCAGATAGGGATATTATCCCTATCCACTCAGAGAGTCTAGATCCAAATAAAGATTTGGATATGAAACCTCCTAATGAGATTAGGAGAGCTGATCTAATTTGTAGATAAGATAAGGATCTATCCTTATCACTTAAAGAGAGTCCAGATTCAAATAAGGATTTGAATCAGGAAACTCCTAATGGGATTAGGAGCTAATCTCTTTAAGTCTATAAAAGGAGGAGGGGGCGAACCATTAAAAAGATATCTCAAAACCTAGACATCAGATCTTAGATCATATAGAGAGAAGACAACAACAGTGTGACTGCGCCATCTTCTCCCTGCGTTCTCCTCCAGTTGCCACCAATTGCCAGTTCGATCTCCATTCTTGTAGGAGCAATCAAGAATAGTTCTTGATATCAGTCTTTGGAGAAATGCTGATTTGAAGTCGTGCTCATAGCCTCCATCGAATTTTTGTTAAAGTGTTCGGTTCTTGGGAAGAACACTGCTGATTCTGCTCTACCCTACACTGTGTCATCTTCAGCGGGAGTAGTCTTTGGAGATTTCTTTGGGCATGAACACCTTCATTGGGAGTTACTGCTACTTTGTATAAGGTATATCCCTCTCCTACCTTTTGGTTTCAGATCTAGTCCGGTTCTTGGTTCAAGATTGATCATTGAAAATGCAGATTTTCTAAAACAGGGAATGTGATTCCCAGATGCTGAGAGAGATAAATTTTTGAAATTTCGCCCAACCTACCTTCAGGGTTCGGCCATCCATATGATGGATCTCTCATCCCTTCAACAAGACAATCAAAAACTGCAACAATTGACTTGTTAATTCCATCTTGTAAATCGGCAGTCCAAGAACCTCCTTACTTATGTTTAGTGTGTCTAAATCATCACGATCGAAAGAAGGAACCAACAAGACTCCATGAACACCTTTTGAAACATTAACATAAACCCCTAATAAAAGGACCGAGAAAAACTCACATACAAAGATGTGAGAGGTAACACTCGTATACGAAGATACGAAAGAGAGAGAGAACTCATCCCTCCCCTCTCAAAGAGGAAGAGAGGCCCTCACTTAAGAGGGAGAGAAACTATCAATTATCATCACATACAGATCAAAATATTATTAAATTCAACACCTAATATATAAAATTTATATGCTTTCCAACAATATGCGAGTTAGGGAGGGTTAGGTTTAGCATAATACTATACCCTCACTTGAGAATGCAGGTTCAAGTTTGAGGGTGACTACTTTGTGCGAAAAGAGTGCCAAAGTTAAGACCTAGTGGTGATCATTCTTGGTCCAACTTGGCCTAGCCCATAAATTTCTGGGCCTAAGCCCCCTATTTTTGTGCAGGTCCATCTTGGCTCGGGCATACATTAAGCCCACAAAATTTTGGCCTGGGGCCTGAGCCTTTTTCTTTTTTTTTTTTTTTTTTTTGTGCAAGTCGATCTTGGCTCGGGCATACATTAAGACCACAAAATTCTGGCATGGGTTTGAGACCAACACTTAAAATATTTTTATATAACGTATAAAAATTTTATCATATGCATATGACACATGTCAACATATGAATCAACTGAAACATGAGAGTTTACTGATAGGCAAGGCCTCCATTCTCTTTCATACATAATGTAAGACTTTCAAAAGCACACTATACTCACTAATGAGTGTTGTTTCAAGTCCTACATTGCTTGAAAAAGAAAATGAAGTCTTTACCTTCATCTAGAAAATGACAAGCCAAGCTAAGTTTAAGAATTAAATGTGGTCCATGCCTTATTTTTTTAATCATTGGCCTAAAGCTTGACCAACGCCAACTTAATTTGAGCTTGTATAATATATATATTTTTTCATGTATTAATCATTATTTAGTTTAAAGTTTTCTATATAACTAAATTTTTATAACAAGAGGCCCAACCTAACCTTAGCCTAGGCTTATATTTTAGGCCTAGGGTCCAAGCTTGAGCTTAGGTTATAATATCTTATCATAGGAAAGAAATAATAATATTGATAATAATATTTATTTAACAACAATAGTAATAATAGTATTATTATTTAATAAAATACATAAAAGTTACTATTAAATAATAAATACTATTAGTTTTGTTCAAATAAATAATAATGTTTATTTTCTGATAAGAATATTTAATAATATGTTTAATAGTGATAATTAAAATATCTTAGTTATAATATCTTATCATAGGAAAGAAATAATAATATCGATAATAATATTTATTTAACAATAATAGTAATAATAATATTATTATTTAATAAAATACATAAAAGTTACTATTAAATAATAAATACTATTAGTTTTGTTCAAATCAATAATAATATTTATTTTGTGATAAGAATATTTAATAATATGTTTAATAGTGATAATTAAAATATCTTTTATTTATTATTAATTAATAATAACAAATAAAGAATATTATTAATTAAATAATAAATGCTTATTTATTTCAATAAATCATAAAATTTGTTTATTAATTTATATTTTATTTGATATTCTTTTTTAATGTTATTTTTATTATTTATAATCTTATTAAACAGTCCATTTCGAAGCATAAAATGGTAAACTTCACAGTTTTAAATGTTGAAGAATTGATCCATCTCAAATGATCTTATCTTTTTAGAGCCTCTAAAAAGCATAACATTATTTATACTTTTCAGATTTTAGATTTATTAAAATCACCTAAAACCAATTTGTCTGATTTGAATATGACAATTAGGTGAAATCCTACATTTTTACCATTTAGGTGATAGAAGTCTAATGATGGGCTTGTTGAATTCTTGGTTTTGACTGGATTGACTATGTTATGTTTGGTTTGGATAAAAAAATTGGGAGAGAGGAAATCATTTAAGGCTCGTTTGAGATTAATAGTTAGAATTGGAATCAGAATCCTTTGGAATTGGATAAAAAATTGAGAGAGAGGAAATCATTTAAGGATCCTTTGATTTATAGTTGGAATTACAATCAGAATCCTTTGGAATTAGAACCTCAATAGTCTACTCCCCTCGCATGTTTGGCTCAAACTAAAATTAGAATTGGAATCAAAATTGGTTAGAATGGGTTCTCATTCCGAGGAGAGGGGGAGGGAATGTTCATTCTCTTAAATGGGGGAATGCCATTCCACCAGAAATGAGAATGAGATTCGAATTTCACCTAAAACAGTTGAACTATTTCCGTTCCTATTCCGGATCCCTATTCCCATAAACCAAACATGCTAACAATTTTTGTAAAATTCTTGATGAACTTTCCCTCTTTTATGTTTCTCTTATTTCTGTCAAACCAAGAACAGCCTCAAGGTCAAACGTTGAATTAGAATTAGGGAAACCTGGTAAATTCGAATCAAAGGGTGTGAATTATGAAATGATGAAATTGTATGGACATTTTGTATAAGCCAACTCTGTATTGCCTCTCAACCGTTGGACAGCTGTTTTGTCTCGTGGAATTTGGATTTTGGGAGACAGTTGTCCGACTCTAATAGACAACACAGCAAAATCGGTTACAGTCTATAACAGAACAAACAGCCACTGTCGTTGACCTGGGCCGTTGAGAAGTCCATCAAATTGATTAAGAAATAAAACCACCACTACGGCCCAGGAGGGCCCAAACGGATCTCATCTACTAAATGGTTACCTACTCATCATGGCCCACCAACGCAGAGCGGTTGGAGTCTCGGCCAAGTTATTTATTTCCTTGACTACTGTCATGACACGTGTCACAGTACTATTGGTTGGTGGCTTCTAGAAGGTGTTAGAAGTTGGAGCTCGGAAAGAATCTTCCTTCGCTCAGTCGGTCCGTTCATATGGGAGAATCTCCTCTTGCATATAAAAGGAGTTCTCAGCTCTCTTCCCCCCCTCGTTCTCTGCTTGCACGATTCCTAACTTCAAACTTTCCCTCGTTTTCTCAGCGTTTCCAAGGGACGGTTCGCGTTTTCACGGCTCTTTTCCTTTTCCTCCAAGGTATTTTCTTAGCTTTGTTTTGTGCAATTGTTTATTTCAGATAAATTCTCTTGTAGTCTTTCCCTTTTTTCGGTTGGTTCTATGCTAATGGGTCTGATTCTTGTTGCAATTTTAGGAGCTAATATAAGTTTAGAATCCATAATCAGTTGAATTTGTTCTCTAGAAATTTTGATTTTGTCGGTGACAGTGAAGGTGGATAAGAAAATAATTCTGTGTTGACATTTCTATATTGGTTTGGTTAGTTAATTGGTTTTCAATTTATCGAGTTTAACTTCTGAGTGAGTTTTGATATTGATTAATGATATCTATAACATACTTCGGTGTTGTAATTCGCTGCGGAATTTCTGAAACTACGTGTTTTTCGTTGTATTCAACTTATTTCTGTTACTGAAACCATCTTTTTTTTTTCTGAATATAGTTTAATTAGATTTTGCTGTATCTGTTTTCAGCACATTCAGCAATTCCAACTACTGAACTTGTATATTGGACTGTTTGGAGATGGCTGAGGTATGGGATCATTTTATTATGTCTACCCCTAAAAAAAAGACTTGGTCATCCTCTTTGTTAGCTCTTCTTTTTCAATTTATTTGGGTAGATCCCTCTCCCTCTCCTGCTCTCCCCCCTTCTCTCTTCAGTGTTAAATTCTTTTTCCATATGTATATTTGTAGAAGAAATAACTTATTGTTTCAGGATTATTTTTCTCTGCACTCATAATTGCCAAATTGCTACAGGATGGTTACAAGGTGTCCTTGAATGTTTATGATTTAAGCCAAGGGCTTGCTCGTCAACTCTCTACTACGTTCTTAGGAAAAGCTATCGAAGGCATATGGTAAGTGTTAGTTGTGCCTTGGGGAGGGAAAAAGCAGCATGTGTACTCGTATGTTTTGAAGATGGTGGAGGCTATTAATGATAAAAAAAAAGAACAATAGAAAGAAAGAAAGTTGAAGATGTAGAGTAGCTTGTTGATTAGTGGTTTAAAACAGAAGAAATTAATACCATATGCATGTTTGGTTGACACTATTATGTCTGGCTACTCTTCAGCAAAAGCCAATGAATTGTAGTTATAAACTAAGAAGGCAATTCACAAACACCTACAACCCATGTCATGTGTTAATACATGACAGTAAAGAAAAGTCCATGGAAACTAAATTACTCGTGATTATGTCCAAAATTCATAGTTCCAAATGGTGTAACCGGTATAACCTTTAAAATATTACACTATCTGCTTGATGTGCATAGGACTATTTTAAGATACGAAATAAATGTAGAAAAATAATAAGATGTACACTGCAAAGTCTCAGACGTCATTGTCATTTGTTAGCCATGTGACAAATTGATGCTGATGTTTTTTTTATTGCTTTCTTTTTCCCCTTTTATTATTATTAACTGGTGAAAAGAAAAATCGAATAAAGAATGATATATGATATGATAGACATAACCAGAACAATCTCCAGTTTCCCTCCTATTCTATCTAGAGAATCTGCCATGCCATTTGCTTCTCTTGCATGCTAGTTCAGGCTGGTTGTCAAAACTTTTGCTTCTGTAAACAGGAACCTAAGAGTCCAAGAAATTTCATTGCTCAAGGATCCTGATTGATGTCTCTGGTAGTCTATATTGATTGTGTTATCTGTCCATATGGCTGAAATGCTATACTTGAAGTAGATACTTTTAGAAAATCCCTTTTCCTTACATTGAATTATAGAAAGTATAAGACTTCTTTACCCTCTCTTTTACCTTTTTTATTTTTAAAAATACTCTTACTATATACAGTTAATTTATGGATAAGTAGGTTCCAGTTGTTACATGGCTATGCTCTTTTTTGGTTTTGTCCTTCCATTTGAAAAGCACCCTCTTTTACAAGATTATATTTTGTTCACAAGTGTGGGATGGGATCAGTCAAACACAACCACACGTTTAGACTACAACTGATTTACATGGTTTACCTTTAATTGAAGTCTAAACCCATTTTTTGGAACTATTTAATCAAGTGGTAGGGGCATTTTTACAGCTGCCATCTATAACTGCACAATTTGGTCTTCATTAGAACATGAATCCAGTATCAACTGTCATCCAAGAATTGTTAGCAGATGGAAAGATTTAATTATCTTAGATCCGTAGATGGGTTGTTGGTCACTGAACTTGATATTATTTGTAAAGTCTTGTAGGTACTTATAGTCTTTGGATTTTGATGTTCATGTCTGAAATACCTTACATCTCTTAGTGATCTAATACATTGAAAGCGATTGAATTCTCCCATCACTTTTACCAAAATAAACAAATAAATAAGAATCTCCCATCATTTGGTGTATGTAACTGAGGTGACTAAAAGAATGTCCTAGGTAAGCTGGGTAAAAAATGACCCGAAAGACTGACATGGAGAAAATGAGTTGGCTTTCTAATTGTGCAAAAAAAAAAAAAATGGAATGGCCTTATAATATGTACCTGAGATGACTAAAAGAATGTCCTAGGTAAGCTGGGTCAAAAATGACCCAAAAGACTGACATGGAGAAAATGAGTTGGTTTTCTAATCGTGCGCAAAAATGGAATGGCCTTACAATATTACCTGCAATGCATATTCTTTTAGATGGGTTATCTTTCAAACTACAATCCTTTTAATACTCTATATATTACCTGAGGACATGGTTGTTTCCTTCAGATTTGCTTTCTCTATATGGAAGGATATTGGTTTCTCATTTTTGGCTGCTTTAACCAGGCACACAGGTATAGTAGTTTATAGAAATGAATATTACTTTGGAAGAGGAATCCAACATTCACCAGTTGGAACTACACCGTATGGGACTCCAATTCGAGTAGTGGAGTTGGGTGTCACACATGTGCCCAAGGAGCTCTTTGAGGAATATTTACGTGAGATCAGTCCTCGATACACAGCTGAAACTTACAGTTTGCTGACTCACAACTGCAATAACTTCTGCAATGAGGTTGCCCAGTTTTTAGTGGGTGTTACCATCCCTAACTATATATTGCAGCTTCCTAATGAAGTAATGAGCAGTCCAATGGGTGCTCTTATAAGTAAGTTTTTCATCCATGTATATTTTTCAATTAGATTGCATATTTTCTCTTTATATGTGAATTTTGGAAGTTATGCCTGCTAACAGACTATTTGTGGAATCTTTACTGTTCGCCCCTTCCCCATCTTTGTTTTTTTTTCTAGGCTACAGCTACTACTATTGTGTGGTGGATCCTATCATAGTGCACTTTCTTTCGCTTATTTTTGTTCGTTTTTCTTATTATTGTGTATATGCACAGTGCCCATGATTCAGCAACTGGAAAGCACATTGAGGGTTGGTGCTGTACCCCAAGCTCCACAGTTTAAGCCTTCCCAGCCTACTACTCTCACATCAAGTTCCAATAGTTCCACTCGCAGCAGTCTGAACAAGTCTACCGGAGAAGGAACCAGTACCAGAGCAAAGGCCCCCTTGAAACCAGATGCAAATGGATCCGTATATTCTAAAAAGACATCACGAAAGCCTAGTCTAGACAAAAAAGTGCAACCTGCTGTCAAACCAGCTGGAGCTAAGGTTAATGGGGCCTCCGGAGATCCCCTTGGGACTGCCAGGAACAAAGTGCAGGAGGAGATAAGCAGTGAATTTGCTGCAATTATGGCGACTGGAACACTGAGAGCAAGTGAGGCGGCAGCACTTGCTACAAGAAGAGTGATGGAAAGACATGGAATGATGAATGTGGTCTTGCCACAGAGCTAGAATGGAGAAAGGGTCCTTACAGAAATACGAGTTTGGTGTTCCAACTAAATTGCGGGATAGAAAAATTCTATCTACAATCCTTGATGTTATAATGGCATTTAAAATTCAACCTCAGTTCACTGATTCTGGCCTTCTGGGAAGTGGAAGTGTGAGAGGAAAGAGCCATGAGTATGCGAGAAAGTTAAACTGCAACAGATACTCTGACTCCAACATGACGATGATGAATCAGTAATGGAACCTTTCTTCTATACTTTTTGCTTATAAAACCATAATAAATCAGTAATTTTTAGTAAAAAATAATAAATCTCTTAGGGAAGCTTTCTTTTTCTACTATGCAAAACAAATAGGCGTTGCCTTTAAAACAGATTCTCAGCCTAAGGTTCTCCTATTTGGCACATGATTACCAATCTCTATGAAAGGCGTTTCTTCCATGTTAGTGCCATGGTTTGCTTTTTCTTATTATTTGATTGGACATTTTAAGACATTTCAAAAAACACATTATGAATACTTATTAAGAAAAAACCATTGACATCTCTTGTAATGAAATAACATTTTCAGCTGTTTGGTCATGTGGTGTCTATTTGGCACTAAATAATGGAAAAACTTTGGCTGTGGCTTAGAACATTTTTTGAAATGCCATGTTATCATAAAGTGGGGCAAAATAGTAATTGCCCCTATTTCTTTTGAACATGTCTAACCTAAAATCACTTTCAACAGCATCGGCTGTTGTCCCCCAACAGCCAAATTTAATTTCTAAATATAAAATATATACAAAATTCAGAATTATTTTATTAAATTCTAAAGTGTGGCCAAGAAAATGGTAAGAATAAAATATTCCCAAAATGTATTACAGTAGAAGTCCTTTTTATCCCGGAACCTGAGTTCTGTGTATTGCAAAAGAATTACAGTTTAATGGGTGTAGTCCGATAACAACTTTGAAATTTTTGCTTTTCAAGGGTCCCCTTAAAGCATATTCAGCATTAAATTAAAATGTTATCTGATATCATCTTTCAACAACTTTGCCACTAAACAGTTAAGTCCGACATATCCTCATATAATTATATACTAGCGAAGTAACCTGTTCTCAGCACGGGAGTGAGAAAATAAAATGTAAAGTAAAAATTGAGTACGGTTCAATTTCAACTAAATTTGTAAGAAAGATAAACCGATTAATCAAATATATGGTTTTACTGTAGAAAAAAACGGACCAAATTAACTTGAAAAAACGATATTGAATTACTAGGCACTAAATTAGGATTTCTACAGTTCATGAGAAGAGAAACGAAACTTTATCAAATTTCATAACGTAGACAAATTGAAAAGGCAATTTGATGAGAAGGAATGTCATTATTAGAGAAGAGATACCATAAATACTAAAGCTCCAATGCATATAGATTCAGAATATCTATGAATTGAATTGCAAGAAATTCAGAAACAAGCAATAAGGCATTTCATCAAAAAAAAAAAAGAGAAATTAACCAAAAAAAATTAGATCCCAAATGTTCTAAGAAGAAGAAACCGCTTAAGTGTAATGCTACTAGATGCAGTCAATTGCAGTTTTCAAAAATCAACCAAGGATTTATAAGCGGCAGCTGTTTAGTATTGGAATCATTTTGAACTCATCCACCTCTTTAGATCCCAAGCTCCACGACCAATAAAAAAAATAACATGAAGTCTTAGCAGATTATGGATAATGTACTGAAGAAGACATTTTAGTGAAAAAACATGAAGTTTCAATTTTTCACAAATAATTTCCAACTTAAGAGAAGAAACTTTGCAGAGCATAGTACCTAACAGAGGAAAACCAGCTAATATATTTGGATTCTCAGTACTAATTCCTCCAACAAAAATAATTGTACACATGGCAACTTGTTTTGGTGTTGAACCCCCAAAAAAATGTTGGTGTTCTTTCTTCGTTCCCTCCTAATCCTTGGTTCTTCACCGCATGTTTTCAGTGAAGCCCAAAGCCCTTCTATAGTTCTATTCTTCTATCCGTGGTTTTCAAAACTGGACTGGAAAACCGGTCACTGGTCACCAGTCACCGGTTCTGTTTTTTCCCAAACCCGTTTTTTCCCCAAAACTGTTGATTTTGGTCAACACACCGCTGAACCAGCCAGTTAAACATTTGAACAGTTTTGACTGTTTTTTCAAAATTTTTAATTTTTTGTCACAATGGGCCAGCCATTTGGGTTGAACGGTTGGGCTGTTCGAACCAGTAACCGGACCCCTGACCGGTTCTGTTTTAAAAACCATGCTTCTATCATCATCATTATATAAAAGAGGGGGATAAGGGTCATATTATGGACATATTATACTGAAAAAGAAAAGAAATAGAAAACCTTCTCGCTGGATCATCACTGCTATAAATAATGCCATTATGTTGAAATTTGCCCATTAATGGAGAGCGGGTGGCAACTGGCAAGAGTGGGGCTCTGTCTCTGTGATGGGGACCATGGGGTTTGGGCTCGGCGCTGCTGGGTTGTAGGAAATGTTGCAGTCAGTTTTCCCAGATTGATTAGATGTTATATCTTAATACAGAATCAGGATACATAATAGATGTTGTGTCTGTGATGACTAACTAAGACAGTTGGAAGTTGGAAGTAAGAAATAGATTACTGTTCGGTTTCTTCAGTAATCTCCTGCAACACTAAATACTGTAGAGCCGTGGAGAATTTTGCAAATCGCTTTCTGTTTCTCGTGGAGCCACTCTCCGGAGCACTGCCGCTGCTTGTCAGAATGAAGGATCCCGATCCATCCCCTAAATCCAGAGACTCAATCTAATTACATTCTTTTACAAGTCAAACGAAGAAAAAAAGAAACTGGGCGGAATTGGCAAAGTCTGGGAAAAGATTGAAAAGTTGCCAGTAAACATGGATGGACTAAGAAAAAATGGGTTGGAGGGTTTTAGGGATTTGGGTTAGGGTTATTAATACATCTTGTAAACTAACCTTCGACGGTAAAAATGGAGGGAATCCATCTCTTGTAGATGAACAACAACCTTGGAGTATCGCCATGGTGGGTATCGGATAACAAGAGCCTGCAAGGCTCTCCTGATGCCGAGCTCTCGCTGTTACACATAAAGAGTTAAGAATCAGAAGAAAACAACCAAACAACGCTCCAAGCACCGAAAAGGTAGACTATGGGAACAGAACAGTTACTTGGCATGGGCGATGGCATCCCGGCACAAGGCCAGAGTTCGAACCATGGCGAGGTCTCTTCCTCTTGGATTACCCAGTCTCTCTTTACAATTCCTGCAAGTAGTAGTGTGGAGCCAAAATGACAAAACCGAAACCGGGATAGTTCTCGATTCTGAAGATCACAAGCACAAATACATGACTGACTTGACTTACTTGTCATCAAAGAAATCTCCGAAATCATCGATTACAACGGCTGTTGGGTAGGTTCCGAGTTGGTGCAGGTGAAATCCAGCCAAGTATTTGTTGATCCCCTCGTAATCTTCTACATACCTGGCAACGAACAGAAACACTTGGATATATGTAAATTATTAGTAAGGAAAAGGGAATTTCTTGATATCCCAGTGGGCAATGCTCTTACTCACACTCACTTCATCCGTATTCGGTTAAACACATCAGAAGAGGCATCGATGCCCTGCAAGCAACATTCAAAAATGAATTACTGATTACATTACATACAGATACAGGTTAAAATGGAAAGAAAAAACAGAGAGTGAGAGAGAGAGAGTAGTAATAAATGTAGAATACCTGGGATAAGTAAGGGGGTTTGGACTCTAACCTGCGGCGGTTGCAGATGAATACGACATGACGATGGGCGGAGCTACTGTAAGCGGAATTAAAAGCGAACTGGAAGAGGAGAGATGTCTTCCCGCATGAGGGAGGCCCTGAAAGGAGCATCATTTGGCTGTTGCTGCATTCCTTTTCTTTCTCAATTTGTTGTTTCGTGGATAAGAAGAAGAACCTCTCTACCATTCTCCCAGCAATTTGGGTGCGAACGTTAAGCAGAGTTTGAGGTTTGCCGAACTCACAGGAACTGAAGAACAAATGAACTCCGAGTAAGTGCACTGATCTGATTCATTTCAAGTTTTCAACCGTACCAGAGAGGGACAAGGACTCGGACGAGAGAGTGAGAAGAGGGAAGTAGGGGAAAAAGACACGTGAAATGAAAGGATAGGTGATTGGTTTCATAGGGAAGGCCCATCCCGTTGTTTTCGCACGGAGATAATGAATACACGTGTGGATACCATTTCTTTCGGGAAGAGAAGGCCACGTCGCCTTAAGGGCCCATCCCGCTTTATTATATGTAATAGATATGGCATAATATAACAATTGATTAATTGAATATATCATAATATAGTTAGTTAATATAATATATTACATTTTACGTAATAGGATATAGAACGTTTAAAATACATAATAAATAATAAAGAAACAATACAAAATATTATATGTTAAATAAATAATATGATAACATTATTATACTTTGTATTCTATATTATATATTAACATCTAAAATAACATTATAAGTATCATATGTATTATAGAAAATACTTAGTATAAACAATATTATACTAAATATGTTCATGATTGTATAAAACATAATTGCATTATAATTTATTTTATATATTAACTTATCAAAAAATTATTTTATATATTCAGGGGGTAAAAATGTAAAATAAGCATTTTTAGAGATTCCAATGTCAACACAAAACTTGTGTGCTCGATTAACACAAAATACAAAGATAAATCACAAAAGGAATTTGTAATGAGCAAATTTGAACTCTCCTTGATTTTGCTCGATGGCATGAGCATCCTCTGATTAATGGTCAAATTTGATGAAAACGAGGGTTGTTAGCATATTTTTCATACTTTTCAAAGTGTTGATACAAATTTCTTTGATTTTGGCATTTTTGAAAAGTTGGTGTAGATTTCTTTACTCCAGGCTTTGCACTTGTCAGTTGTGAAGAATGCTTCTATAAGAAGCGCCTTTTTTGCAATGGCTTGATCTTCTTAGGATAATTGAATCCAAGTTTGAAGTAGAGTTGAAGATTGCAAGAACTAGTTTGTGATTGCTTGCAATTCTAAAGTATTTGTGTAAGTGAATGAGAGCTTCTCTAATGTGCAAGCATGATTGTGAAAAAGAGAGACCCTTTCTTCTTCTTAGGCTGCAGCTTCAACCCACTTTGCTAACATCCCATGTAAATGGAGTGTTGAGTTAGGGTTAACTCCTAAACATGCTTTGTTATGTAGGAATTAGTGGTTTTGCTAATGGACCATCTTGTTACAATAGGACATGTGTCTAATTAGACTTGGTACCCCTGGATCCTTGGGCCATGGGTTATATTTGTGTAGAAGACTTGGGCCCCTGTCCATGGAGGCCCATATTAATTTAGAGGCTACTATGTAAATTAAGCCCATAATTTTGGCCAAACAACTTACATGTCTGCATCCAACATTTAAAATATCAAACAAAGTAGAAAAGTAGCTTTTGACAAGTCAAACTTAGTATACTTTTACTTTTCACATAGTTCAGATTACCAATCACCACCTTGTTCTTTAACAAATTAGGTGATTATGTTGGGTTAATAAAGTTTGTAGAGCCTGCCCAATTTTGATAGCCAAAATTTTCTAATTCTCCTCAGTTGCATGGGTCAAAAGAGGCATAAACCTTAGGTCTAAAGACATAAGCCTAAAAAATCAGTGGCAATTGTGTTATTTAATACTAAAAAATTATTTGTTTTATTTTATGTTTAAAACATATGAGAAGGGCACTTCGATAATTATGGATCTAATAGAAAGAGCAAAATGAAAAGCAAATAGGGCAAATATAATTTTTGGTTTCTCTTAGGATTTTAGACGACGAGTCCAACACAATAAGGTCTGAAAAGAACTTTCTTTGTTCTCTTCAAAGTTCGCATCAGCGCCCCACAGCCAGGAAAACCGGATTCACTCAAATTCAAATTCACTCCCCACATAATCAAAGCGCGAAGGTGTCCTCCCGCACATGCTGCCAAATTCACTCAAAAAACCCAAATCCCATTCCGCTTTGACCTTCTCTCAACCTCAACCCTTGTTCTTTCTCCTTCTGTATCCATCTCTTCTCCATTCATCAAATTTATTTCGTTTTAATAGAAAGAAATGCACAAATACGACTGAAAGCTTTAGTAGAAATTGCAATAGACAAATGCAACAAATTGGTTGAAATGCCAACCAAAGCTATAAATTTGTCTGTATGAGTTTCCAGGTACTTTATCAAAACCTAGAAGAAAACCAGGATCAATAAAACCTACATGCAAAAATGAAGGTCTCTAACCTCAGGTTGCAATGATGATATAGGAAAATATGGAATAAATTAATAAATCAAACTATAAAAATAAGTATAGTGTGGTAGAGCAGCAGTATAAGTGTATAACAGTTCGCCAGTTATGATATAGAAAAAAGTCAAAAAACCTTCATGTTCACCGGTGATGGTTCTCATGTTCGACAGCATAACAATACAAAAATTTGAGTATGGTAGAGGGAAGAGGAAAAAACCGCACCTATTCAATGTTGCCGGTGGTCGCCGGTGATGGATACCTCCCTTCTTTGTTTTGTAGTGAAAAAAAAAATAATATAAAAAGCTGTAATGGAAGTGAGATAGACGGGGGAGTTCATTACCTCCAGACGGTGTGACCACCGGAACGAATGTCGGCACTGGAGAAGGAGGTGGATTCCGAGCTCGTTCTGGACTCTCGGACGAGAGATGGAGATGGAAGGAGAGAGAATAGGGGTTGGGTTGAGGTTGAGAGAGGGTCGAAGCGGGAATGGGATTTGGGTTTTTTGAGTGAATTTGGGAGCTCCACACGCGTTAATGAGTGGCATGTGCGGGAGGACAACTATTGTACTTTGATTGTGTGGGGCTCCTGTGGGGCCGCTGATGCTAACTCCAAATAAAGTGTTTTTTTTTTTCTTATTAATCTACATTTTTGGGTGATCAGAAATTTATCACCCTAGGTTTATTAGTTTTCTATATTTTCTTGTATTTACTCTATTTTTGAATATGCAAAAAATAAGTTTTTGAATATGCATCTTCACAAAACAAAGTAAAACACTTCAAGTTTGATTCAAGAAAACACCCATTTCTGAAACCAATAAAAATATGTTTTAAAAAACATAAACATTTTTCATTTTCAAAAGGCTAAGTTGGGCTATTATTTTGGACCCTTTAATTAAAACAGACTTAAAACTCCTATTGGCTTCATTGGCCCAGATTTAAACAGACATGGGTTTAAAGTATAAATAAAAATAAGAATAGAAAAAAAAATAAATAAAAGAAAGGTCAATAACTTCTGATATTTGATCAAAATGGTCTCTATCAGCTGAGTGTGGTATGTTTTATGAAACATATCAAAACTAGGGGTGGCAAATGCATAGGTTGGTTTGGATTAGATGTGATCCACCCACATTAATTGAGGACCCTTATATTTTGTATATACATGAGTTGCAACTCAACCTAATTCATCCATTTTTACCCATTTGATTTTTTTTTGAACATTTAAGTGGCTATTTGGTATCATTGTCGTTTCCTGGAGCAACAATGTTACATAGGAAAAAACGGTGCTCCAGGAAACAATTATCTGTTTGGAACATTTTTTCATAGAAAACGGTGTTCCATGCCATGCCTTGGAAATCGGAAGGCATGGCTTGGAGCAACGCCAAATTTGGCGTTTCCTGGAGCTGCAGCTTATTGCTGCCAATAGCAGTGATGTGGCACTGGACAATGGGTAGAAGTGAAGAAAACGTTCCTTGGAGCATTGGTACCAAACATAAAAAGTTGTTATTGCTCTAGGAAACGCCCTACTTGGCAGCAACGATTCCAAACAAAAAAAGGCACTGTTTGAGAAAACAATGCTTCTAATCCACACATCAGCAGTGCTGCAATTGCAGCATCGATGCCAAACATATACTAAATTAAACTATATAAACAAATCCCTACTAAGAAAAAAAATTCTTTATTTTTTTCTGTATTGCAACATGTCGTTCCATGGAAATAGAAAAGTTGAGATTCATTAAAAAGTAAGAGAGAGAAAGATAATACAAGAGAGAAAAAAAGATAAATGAAGAGATGATAGAGATAATATAGTGAAATGGATGAGAGAGAGGATAGAGGAGAAGAAAACGCAGGGGAGAGAGAGATGTGAAGAAGGAGAGGAAAGAGAGAATTTATAGGAGAGCAAAAAATAGGGGTGCAACTTGGATTTGGGTGGGCTCGAAGAAGTGTAAAATGCTAAATCAGGCCAACCCAAGTTGCACCCCTAGGAAAAATAGGGAATAAGGAGAGAAAAATTGAGAGAGAAAAGAGAGAAGAGAGGAGAGAGAAGATTAGAAGAAGAAATTAAGGAAGAGAAAATGAATTTTGGGACATTTTAAAATTTTGTATTTCATTTTCATGATTAATAAAATGAATTCTTGTTTATCACACTTATTTTTCTTTACTATGATTAATATAAATATTAATGAACTTCTATATATATATATATTTTGTGTTGTCATCATTTTTTAACTTGATAATTTTGACATCAAGGGTCGATAAATATGACCCAAAAAGTTGAACGATTGACCTGACACTAAATAGGAGCAATCTTATTTTTGGGACAGCTTCAAATTTTGTATTTCAGTTTCAATATCAACAAAACAATTATTATTTATCACATTTATTTTTCTTTAATATGATTAATACAAAATATTAGAGATGTGCCCATTTTTACATCTTTTATTTTTTTTTATTTTTTGTATTTATTTATATTTTAAATGCCTTGTTATTTAACTAGTTATTCCATTTGACCTGAATGGTTGAATTGCTCACCCTCCACTATGATGGAAGAACAATTGATTTTTTAGCCAGTTTTAAAAAAACATGGGTTCTATATTGTTAAAAAGTATTGGATATAGGTCTAATTGATAGAATTTATTGGTAAAATAATAGTTTAAATATAAGATTCAATGAAATAGAATGGGAGTTAATAACCAAATATAAAATTTAATGAGAGGAAATTGAATGAGGTAAATAATAGTAGTTCAAATTACATATTCTACCCTCATAATTAGAGAAACTAAAAGCAAAGTCGAGGTATTTTAGTCAAGAATATGATTTAATGAAAGACAATGGGATTAATACTATAAATACAAGACTTAATGAGAGTTAATTAAATGAGATGAAAGTAATAGTTCAAAAATTGCATTTTAGCTCTCACAGTTAGAGACGGGTCAAATTCAAAAATAGGGGTATTTTATTCAAACAAAAGTTCAACATTCTCATTCTTATGTCTATGTCTATATACTTGACTTGAGCTCGGTTGAGTTTTGATCTTCATAATTGAACCCGACTTGACTCGTCTCAAGCCAATTATAAATAAATTGCTATTAAAAATTATAAAGAAATTAATACTTAAATATTATAAATAAAAATATATTAGAAAACTTGATGATATGTTAAAATTATAAATAAATCAATGTTATGAAATGTTATAAATAAAAATATATTACGAAACTTGATTATAAATAAATCACTAAATATTTATTTATTTATGTTATAAATAATATTTTATTAGAAGCTCGATTAGGCTTACAAGTTACTCGAGCTGGGTATTAAGAAGCTTAAGCTTTGCTTGACTAACTACTTGACTTGAGTCAAGCTTGACTCAACTCGATAATCTTCGAGTAGAGTTTGAGTATTACTATTTAGTGAGCTGAACTCGAGTAGCTCGTGAGTTGGTTCATAAAGAGGGTGGCGAGTCTAGTTATAAGGGTGGCAAGTTCATAAAGAGGACACCTCCCTTTCCTTGCTTCATTGTGAAGGGAAGCATTGGACTAAAAGCTACCTAGCTATGGGAAGTTGAATGCTTTCCTCACTAAACTTAGTGATGGCGAGAATAACGATGAGGGGGACTTTGAGGAGACAAGAATGGGAGTGCTACAAAGGATAAATGCTATGAAGAAGAAGGTGAACTTGCCAAAATCACCTAAGTTTACTTATAAGGGGTTGATATACATGAATGTTTCCCCAAATGGACAACCCACAAAGGCCATGGTGGATAGAGGTGCTATGCACAACTTCAACTCCATTGAAGAAGCCACTTGAGTGGGACTTACATCGACCAAAAAACTTGGTTGGTTGAAGGCTATGAACTCCAATGCCAAACCTATATAAGGCATAGCTTGAGGGTTGGCCCTACAAATTGGCAATTGGAAAGGAAAGATTGATGTTTCAGTAGTACCCATGGATGACTTCTAAGTTGTCCTAGGCATGAAATTCTTGACACAAGTGAATGTAGTATCCATATTTATGCCTTAACTTAGTATGCATCTTTGAAGACCAAGTCCCATGCATGATATAGGTGGTGCTAGAGACAAGGATTACCCCCAAGATGCCCTCAACCTTACAATGGGGTGTGAAAGGATGAAACCACTTGCTTAGGTTGGTGGACTATAGTACGCTAAACCAAGCTGCAAAGGGCATCCTTCTAGCAATTGCAATGATCTTGGATGAGTTTAAGGATGTCGTGCCCTCCAAATTGCCAAATAAGTTGCCCCAAGGAGAAATTAACCACAGAATTGAATTGGAGACTAGTGCCAAACCCCCCAACTCGTCTACCATACTGAATGCCTATTCTTAAGTTTGTTGATCTTTGGAAGAAGTTGAACGATTTGTTGGATACTGGGTTCATCCAACCTTCTAAGTCCCCCTTTACAGGACTTGTGTTACTCTAGAAGAAACATGATGGTTCCCTCCAGCTAGCTTAGCACTGATTATGGAGCACTGGACAAGTTCATCATGAGCAAGTACCCCATACCCTTGGTAGCTGATCACTTTGACCAACTTAGTTAGGCCAAGTACTTCACTCTTAGGTTTGACTACTACCAAGTTCATATTTGTAAAGGTGAGGAACCAAAAGCCACTGTAACCAGATATGACTCATTCGATTTCTTGTAATGCCCTATTACATTTTGTACCTTGATGAATAGATTATCCTTAGATCAATTTGTTGTGTACATTGATGAAATTGTAGTTTATAGTAGATGTTTAGAGGAACAATTTGGCCACCTCGGCATTGTTTTTTAGGTTTTGTAGGACAATAATTTGTTTGTTAAGAAGGAAAAGTATTCCTTTGCTATAAAGGAGGTGGGATTCTTAGGACATGTATTTCGAGTTGGCACAATTAGCATAAACCCAACCAAAGTTTAGGCTATTCAAGAATGGGAGCCTTTCATCAAGGTCACTAAATTTTGTTCCTTCATTGTCCTTTATGAATTACTATTGAAGATTCATCTTCGGGTTCTTAGCATGAGCCACTGCCCTTATTGACTTATTGAAGAAGACAAGCACTTAGAGTTGGATTAAAGCGTACAAAGCATCTTTTGATGGTTTAAAGCAAGTTGTTTCCGAAAAACCTGTTCATGGCTTACCAAATCCCATCAAGCCTTATGAGTTGATGCTTCATACTTTGCCATTGGTGGGGTTTTGATGCAAAAAGGACATCTCATTACTTATAAGAACCATAAATTAAATGATATTGAGAGGAGGTACATTGTGTAGGAGAAGGAAATGATCGCCATCGTGCATTCCCTTTGTACTCGGTGATACTATTTACTTGGTTCTAAGTTTGTGGTCAAGACATATAACATATATAGCTACAAGCTACTTCCAATCGCTGAAGAAGATGGGCCCCAAACAAGCTCGATGACAACAGGATTCTTAGCAGATTTTGACATGACACTTAAGTACAAGCCGGGGCTGATAAACCAAGTTGATGCATT